TAATCTGTTTCACAAGTTGTAAACCAACACATAAATGTAGCCTAATCTCTGTTGGCACAGTTTTGTGTGTGAGTCAGGATGAGTTTGCAGCATTTTACCATCCTGTCATTGTTCATGTTGGGTTGGTGCCAATATTTAGGTTGTAAAGCCAACAGCAGTGATGAAGCAATTATTGTGCATTCCAAATAAAACCTTAACAACATAATGCAAAGAAACCAAAGCCATTATACAAAATATCACACAAAATATATCTAAAATAAACTTTCGTCATTGGATTACTAGTTAAACAGTGATTTCAGAACTACAGGACGACACAGAGCCAAAGCAGGAGGTTGTCTTTAAGACAATTTGCAAACCGCCCAGCAGAGGGCGCTGCGACAAAAACCGGAAGCGGAAGCAGAAAGTCCAAAAGGAGAAGAAGTAGAAACTACAGAGGAGGTGTGGAAGTGTTTAAGGAGTGAAAAGTTTCCCACCGTGTGTGCAGAGTTTGTGTTTGGGTGCAGACATGTCGGGAAGCAGAATGATGAGAGCCATCAGGGTCAGTGAGTTCGGAGCCCCGTCGGTCCTCAAACTGTCCGATGTGAGCGTCCCTCAGCCCGGACAGAGACAGGTGAGACACCCGCTGGTCAGCTCACAGGTGGGAGGTCAGAGACAGCGAGGACGGGTCAGGTGAGGGGGTTTGATAGATGGAGTCTTCCTCTGGGGGAAATTCAAGGTATGCAGAAGCTAACACGTGTAAAATATTGTGCAAACCGTGCTGGTATTTTACAATTTTTAAAAAGTAATAAAAAAGTCTAAATACTGTATAACAACAACTATATTACTACTACTACTACTAATAATAATAATAATGATGATGTGCAATTATTTTAAAATAGTTTTTGTGGTCATTATTAGTAGATCATATCAGGAAGTGCTTCATGTTTAATTTACAAACAATGTACAAACTAATAAATGAGTTTATGACAAGTGAAAACCAGTGCATATAAATGTCTCTTTATATTTATTAGTCTCATATTTGTGGGGGGAAAATCAAAAACATTTAAGCCTATCTATCTGTGCATTTGTTTCTAAAGAAAGGTGGGATAGCAACAGATATAACAGTATATGATACAGCATACAGCAAGTCAGGTTAGATTTCATTCCAGTGTGTTGTCGTTGCACCATGACAGTGAACTGTCGTTTAACAGAAACGTTGCTCAGAATTAGTGATTTTCGTGCCTTTTCAGAGTGATGCCCACCCCGTTCTACCTTCTTTAACTCCACCAGGTCGTTTAATATCATGATCTCCAGAACTCTGGGGCTAACTTTGTTGAGCATGAGTCAGCAGGAATCAGCATGAGGCGGCGTCATCTTATCTGGGCGTCATTGTTCATGTTGGTGGGCCGGTGCCAGTATTTAATTTTAGTGCTGAAGCACATTCGTTGTGCATCCCGAACTTAAATTTAACACAATATAATAAAAAAAACAAGGCCAGTATTTATAGTGTGCATATGTGTTCTTCTGTATATATGTATCCAGTCCGCCCATATGTATTACTATATATATGTCTGTTGTACACATTATATATTGTGTATATATACAAATATAGTGTCATCCAACTCTAAATGCATGTTGACAGTCCTACTAGCATACTTCTGGATGTACTTACAAAAAAATACATCTGTGTTTATGCTATTTTGGTGTAAATATAACAAAATAAATGCAAAACAAAAAACAAAACAAAAAAAACTTTGTCTTGTTTTGATCTGAAATCCAAAAACCTAAAGCAGCAAAAGCATTTTTTTCTTTTACTCACATACTTTTAGAGGGCACTGTACTGTCTATACTAGATGTAAAATGGATATAATAAACTTGAATCAATACAAAAAATAAAATAACCTAATTGACATAAATTGATGGCCACTGACACCTCGTGGAGTTGCAGGTTCTCTCCGGGTTCTCCGGCTTCCTCAAGCAGTCCAAAAACATACTTTATGTTAATCAGTGATTTTAAATTGTCTGTAGGTGTGAATGTGAGTGTGCTTGGTTGTCTCTCTGTGTGTGTCTGTCTTTAATGTAATTATTTCAGCTGACTTCCTGTCTCTACTGTAGGTGTTGATCCGTGTTCACGCCTGTGGAGTGAATCCTGTGGAAACCTACATCCGGGCCGGGACATACGCCCGGAAACCCGCCCTGCCGTACACACCAGGAGGTGATGCAGCCGGAGTGGTGGAGACCGTTGGAGAAGGTGTCACTGCAGTGAAGGTCAGAGTTTTAAAAAAACGGTGTTTGCATATCAGTACACTTCAGTTCAATTTAGATGATTCAGATTAGCCACGCAGTTGAGTACTTTCAGGTTTTAGATCAAAATTCAAGCTCAGGAAACTGGTTTCTGTTTAATTAGCAGCTAGACAACTGTTAAATCACCTGTCTGTATGTGTTTTCTAGAAAGGTGATCGTGTTTTCACCACGGCCACTGAGTCTGGAGGTTATGCAGAATACACAGTCGCACCTGAGGACTGCGTTCACAAGCTGCCCGATGCTTTAGACTTCGCTCAGGGAGCAGCCATTGGGATCCCGTATTTCACCGCCTACAGAGCTCTGGTTCACAAGTAAGATCACATCTGTTCAGGAGGAAATACAGCTAATGAAGGTGAAGTCTGGTGGTGTTAAAGTGATAGAAAACAATGCAATAAATTACTTGTGTTGTTATTTGTAGTGGTAATAAAGCAAGATAAACAACTTGCAATAAAGCAGAAATAATCATGATGAATACAATGTTGGCACAAATAAACTTCATTATGTGCTCGTCTGCAGAACTCATTCCAAAGCCGGAGAAACCGTCCTCATCCACGGAGCCAGTGGAGGGGTGAGATCTGTTTTTAATGGTGTTCTGTATCAGTGAAAGATGATGTGATGCTGAGTAAATAAAGACAGTGAACTATAAAGTAAAGGCACGACTGGATTAACCTGTGAAGAAACCATACGTATAAATATTTTTATGTTGGGTCCTACTGACCCCCACATCCAGAAACCAGCAGTACTCTAGAGCTGATGTGGCAATAATTTAAATAAGAGATCAATCGTTTTAACCATCTTTAGGCATAAATTACAAAACTTAGCTGATGCCAGCTTTACCAGTTTCCCAGTTTTCTAAACTAAATGTATCATTTATTAAAACTTGACTATGAAACAGGGTCATCGTAATAAACTTGCTTTAAGAAACAAAAAGCAAAATCCTGATTGAAGTGCAACTGAAATGTAGCACAAAGAGTTTTGCACATTTAAGGAATAAATAGACAATAAAATAATACAAACAACACTCCAACAAACATCATGTTATGAATGAAGGACTTAATAAAACAGGAACTGAAAAAACGCCGGCATTAAAACATAAATGCAATAAAAAAACAACAGGAGGCAGAGAATCGGTCAACATTTATGAAGGCAAAATACAAAATATATAGTGGTTAAAAAAAAAAATAGAGAAAATAGACTAAAATATCCAAATAAATAGAGAAACGCACAATCAATTTTAATAACAGCTCTGCTAATAAACATCAAACAAATAAAATCTATCAAAAGCCTGATCAGAAAGGAAGGACTTGAGTTTACTTTATAGAAAAAAAAACAAAATGCTGCATCACTGTGTGTTTGTGTTCTTACTTTAAGTTTAGTTAAAAGGCCACTGGCAGCAGATCTGAGGGCTCTAGATTGTAAATAAGTTGGACCAAGACCACGAGGAGCTTTATAAAGTAGCAAAAGTAGCCGGTGCAGACTTTGACAGTGGCTGTTTGAAGGGGGAAAATGATAACTGTTGGCTGATTCCTCTGTTCCTCTGCTGTACATTTATGTGTAAACATGAAAAAAAAAAAATCTTGTTAGCGATGTTAGCGCTGGCACTGCTTTGGCCACATCTGCACTAAATCTCCTCATGTAAACAAAGAAGACACATAGCAGCCGTCACTGTAGCGTCACAAGTCAAAAACACAAGTTTTACTGTTGACGCATCAACACTGTAAACTGTTTGAGTGTTTGAACCCTAGAAGGAGTTTTCCAAAAGCTCCACCTTCAATGATCTAAAAATGTGGTTGCATGTGGTTAAAAGACTGAAACAAAGAAGAAGCTGTTTTAATGAATACTCGTGGACATGGCCTTTGGCTGGTTGGTAATCAATCCTTGTGTCAAGATAGATGCATAACTACCTCAGTGACTTATATCAGTGTGACAGTTTCTGTTCCAGACATATATGTCATAAAAACTCTCATGTTTACCATCTAGGTCCTTCAGTGTTGACATTATGCTCTAAAATCCTGTATTTTCCTTTGTATTACATCACCCAGGTTGGAGTTGCAGCCTGCCAGCTTGCTCGCTCTATGGGCCTCAAAGTTCTGGGAACAGCAGGGACTTCGGACGGGATGAAGCTGGTTCTCAACAATGGAGCTCATCTGGCTTTCAATCACAGAGAAGAAGGATACACAGATAAAATCATGGTAACCACACACGTTAACAAGTAAAGACCTTTGAAACTGTGTTTAGTAGTGAAAAATGAATCGTGTGTTTGTGTGTTCCAGGCAGCCACAGAGGGCAAAGGTGTGGATGTGGTAGTGGAGATGCTGGCTAATGTCAACCTCAGCAAAGACCTGGAGATGTTGGCCCTAGGAGGACGAGTTGCGGTCAGTAGGACTGCAGTCTGTAACTCTAAACTACAGCGTTGTCTGACTGATCTCAGAGAAGAGAATAAGTGCTAAATATGGCAGAGTAATAACCAAACTACAAAGGGAATGTTTCCATCATAAACTACAGATATGTATAAAGATCTACTGTGATATATAAAAAACTTTCTGAGATAAAATGCTTTTACAAATCGGCCATTGACCCTCTTTTGGCGTCTTTTTTTGGGCACTGAAATTTCAGGCTACGACAACATTTTAGAAACTATTAAAAGATAAAAGCTTGTCATTTTCACTGTTATTTCTCATCATGCCACTGATTCCTAAATATTGGACAAGTAGATCAAATAGTCTCTGTTTATGGGTGAGTTGAAATACGAAAAAAAACAGTGAAGCTGTCATAAAAAGTCCATCTAAAATTTCACAAAAACATTTTTAAATAGCCATAAAAAGAAAAAAAAAGTTCTATCCAATCTCAGATAGTTTGGCAGAAGGCTCTTGATGATTTGAAATAAACATCAGACGTCATGCAAGATGCAAAGGCTGAGTGGAAGCAGCAGATTTATAATAAAACAGAATTGCCTTCATTTCTAAACTTCCTGTTTTCATCTGTCATGTCTCTGGTCGGTCCTTCCTCTGTAGATCGTTGGCTCCAGAGGTCCTGTCGAGATCAATCCCAGAGACACAATGATCAAAGAGAGCTCCGTCATGGGAGTGGCCCTCTTCTTCGCTAAACCGGTATGAAGCAAAAAACATGTGACAGTTATATTTGTAACGGTATGCAATTAATGAAATGAATGAAAGTTGCTGTATTTGTCAGCCAAAGTGATAAGTGCGTGCTATTCACAAATTGGACATCTCCATGCACCAGTCAATCACAGTCAGCAGCAATAGACGTGCATCCCATATCCTAATATAAAGAGAATCGTTTTCCATTTAGTCATGTTTCCTTCTTGTTCGCATCTCAGGAGGAGACCAAGCAGTGTGCAGCGGAGCTCTTTAAAGGGGTGGAGGCCGGTTGGCTGCGTCCAGTCGTTGGTCCTAAGTATCCGCTGGAAAAGGCCGCTCAGGCCCACAAAGACATCATCGAGTCCTCCGGGGCTTCTGGGAAGATCGTCCTGACCATGTGATGACGCCACCATGCCACAGGTCAAAGGTCACAGAGAGGCTGTTTCCAGAAGGGAGAGTCTTGAGCAGCAACAAAACTCATTAATGTGGTTACACTCAGGTGTAAAAGTCTTAATTAAAATCACATTCGCATGTTACTGCAGAAAAGTAAAGTTGCACTTGCACACAATCCTATGTGCTAATGTAAGAGTCATCCCATTTCAAATCATCACATGTTTTGAATAATTTCTGTTCGACCATGATTGATTTGCTTGAATTTTCCATCGCATAAAATATGGATATTTGTAAGATATTTGTGAAATTATAGCTTGATATATCAAATACTTTCCGAGATGATATTTTTTTTTATAAAAGTTGCCTGGTGGCCCGCTTTCAGTGGGTTTTTTGCAGATTGAATTTTGTATAAATAACAATATCTCAGGAACTATTAAAGATAAAAGCCTGAAATTTTCTTTTTTCTTTTTTTTTGAAATTAATTTTAAAAATTTGAATCATACTACCATTGATTCAGATGCTGTGATATTGGACAAGTAGATGAAATAGTCTCTTATTATGAGTGAGTTGAAACAAAAAAAAAACTGAAGCCGTCATAAGAGTCCCATCTTTGAGCACATATTAAAAATATTGATCATGCAGAAGTCCACTGGTTTTATTTTCGGAGCCGTATGTAGTTGCATGTCACAATTATGCAAAACAAAACATATGGAATACTTTTAAATTTTAAATAATACTTGATCACAAAAATGCCAAATTATTTACGTTGTACTTTTTTAATTGATTGAGCAGCTACAACACGGTGTACCACAGAAGTAACAGCATTGCTAGATAGTCTTGTCCAAGTTTCAAAATGGTTCTCCAAATATGACTAATTAATTAATCATCAAAGATTATTTGGTCTACTTCTATAATGACGATTTCAGTCTTCAGGCTTTCATCTTTAATAGTTCCTGCGAAATCTCCACACAGAATATGCTGAATGGGTTTAGTTAGCATTTAGCGATTACAGTGTGGACTGTGTGGAACAGTAGAGGACTGTTAGCCTCCAAACACACCTCCCTTATCCGTGTGGTTTGACTCGTACAGATGAGGGCAAGGTTCGAATGAAAATATTAAATATTAACCACCATCTTTTGGAAATGTAAATAAAGGTTTTGGGAGCTGAAAGCCAAACACACACCCGCTACATTGATACTTCTGCCAGCTGCCCACTAGCTAACGGTCAAGAGCAGGGTTAGCTAGCACGCAATTCACATTTTATGTTCAGAGAGGTAAAAGCGTTTCAATGTGAAAATACTAAATAAAAAAATGTAAAAAATAATCATGTTTAAATGCATTTAGCTTTTACAGGATTAATAACCAGCGAACACAATGATACAAGATGGAAGTTGTACCTTTAATTTCTCATCCTTCTTATTTCATTCTGCACTGTTTTTCTGCACATTGATTCTAATTTTATGCCAATTTTTGCCAAAATAATTTTTAGTTGCACTAGTTTTTCTAGTTTGTTTCTTTAACTGGAAGTGACAAATTTAAGTTTATAACTTGAGTTTTTGAATGTAAACAAGAATAATGAATTTATATGCTAAAATTTCTGAATAAAAACGTGTATTCAGGCGAGTTAAGTGTGTCTTAGAAAAGTTTAGTATCTCACCATGAATTTAGATTCATTCTGTATTTACAGTTTTATAGCATCTACTGTTATGCTTTGAAATTTCTTTTCACTATTTTTTTAAGCAAAATATATGAAAGCATTTGTATGAGCTTTAAGTCATGAATAAAAATTAAGTCAATTTTAAAAGTACATATGTTTCTATTCTTTCCATTGCAATCCTATAAGACAATACTGACATTTCGGGGTAAAAAGAATTAAGGTTAAAGAGTGAAGTTCATGGCTCACATCAGACTCAGGAAACTGAGTCAGACAAGACATCTGGGCCTCTCAGGTGACAGCCGGCTCTACTGAGCATGCTCAGGAGACAGCCAGGTAACCGAAGCTAGAAACACTCGTATACACAGAACATGCTACAGCGCTGTAGCAAGCAGTCAGTGACGGGAGTTTAATCAGTAAACAGGGCTACAGATGATTTGTATGGAATAATAAGTGAGTGGACTGTACCATGTGGTCAGCGAGGGTGGCCCTCTGGGTTCTGTTCAACAGGTAAGCAGTTTGTAATATGGTTTCAGACATCTTTCACAATGACCTGAGCATTCTAATTGTTAGTTTCTTGGTTTCTATGGATGTTTACAAACTAAAACTAGGCAAGAGGGCGCTAATAATCTGTCTTTGGTCTATATTTTTGACATTATGTAAATGTCCAGTCACAGGTAAAAGGAGGATGTTGGGTAAATATTTGCAGATGATGCTGGGAATAATTCAAACAGCAGGTTGAATGAACCTGATTCAGGGTGCTGGCAGAGTTTTGAATTCTAAACTGAACACAGAAATAATACACCTTGTGGACCACACAACAACGTGACGCTGAAGGGCTTCAGTGAAAGTAACACTAATGCAATTGTTTGGCAAGTTAGTCGTTCATTAGCAGGAGCAGCTCATTAGCTAACACAGCTGACAACGAAACCCAAGCTGAATTACCAACTGGGCTAAAGATCTGACCTCAGTTGTGTATTAAAATTAGTTTTAAATACTATAAATATTTGCAAATGTTTTTTTTGCTAAAATGCCATGGTGAAATAAAAAATATTTTTTAAATGTTGTGTTTTTAAAAAAAATACAACAAGCTGGCATAAAGCAAATTTGGGGCTTTAGCCTAGTGAGTTAATCTGGCCCTAATTTAAACCAGTCAAAAACAAAAGCA